GAGGGTTGGGGGTGCTCGGCATCTCTCCCTGGGGTGTTGTGTGAGGTTTGGGGTCCCAGGAGGTCTCTGGGCTGGTCCCTAGCCTGGCTTCTTGTTTTTTTGGGGAAAACCACTTTGGCCTTGGAAAAGCTGGTCTCTACTGTGCCTTTTTCATTTCAAATCTTCATGCTGCTGTTGCACAATGATGCTTGTATGTATGCTATATTTGACATAACAAATATAACAATGGGATGTTATCTTAACAGGTTTTTCAAATGATATTTTACCTGCAGGGATGAAATAAGCTGTTTGGTTTCTTTTGGTGACTTTGATCATCCTGATTACAGCGTTTGGAACAAGGCTGCGCTTCCAGCTCTTCAGTTTACGGTTTGTGGGGTTACACACACACTACTGCCTTAGCAGGCAGCTTGGGTTAGGTTGGCTAAATTGTGTAGATAAGACAGTTCTAAGTGCTCCCGTGTGGCTTGTAAAATTCTTTTGCTGCGTGTGCCCATTCTGGTTCCATAACGATACCAGCAAGGGTAATGGCTTCCTACCCTTTGTAGTTTTTCATTTTACCTAAGCTTCTTTTACTTCTGTTTTTGTCCATTAACACTACTTTTGTGCTGGTTCTGAAATAGAAAGTTACTGATACTTCTGTGTATCTTTGAGTTGTATGTTTGGTGACAAATGTTGACAATTCTTACATAAAATCCTATTCTTGCAAAAGCAGGGTACTGAGGTTCTTCTAGAACTAGTGAGGAGCTGGCTTTTCTTGCCTTTTTTTTCCCATTATTAAAGTTTCAACATACAAGGAGTTTTCCCCATTATTTTTTTTTTCAGAGCCTGTTATTTTCTACTTTATCTTCTGCTTTTCTAGAGGTGACATATATATGACAAACTTATTGAAAAGCAGCAAGTTAAATGGCTACATAGTGGTTTCTTAGGAATTAAAATTCCATGACAAAAGTAAAAAATCCTAGCTACGTTACAGTTTGAGAAGACATTTAAGTGCAGGTGATCACTTGTGGTTTTGTTTCTTTTTCCATTTAGAGTGATCAAAAAGATGACTGAAGATTCTAACAGAAACGTGGATAAAAACCATGACAAGCTCAATAGAAAGTGATGTCTGCTCTCCTGATTCAACAGTATCTTCTCTTTTAAGAAGCTATAGCATTGACAGGGATAATCCATGCTCAAACAGTTTGATTCACTACAAGGACAAGCTTTACAGCTCGGCATCTGAGGCTTTAGAGGCTTATATTGAAGATTTTGATTTAAGTCTCACATCGTCAGAGATAAGCACTGGAAAAATCTGCATCTATCAAAGCACTCCCAAACAAGTGAAGTTTTCAAAGCATCATGCCAAAGAAAAACATGGTATGTCTCTATGAACGTGCCTTTTTAATAAGTTTTGATGTTTGCTATTCGTTTTGTTTTTTTCATTGCCAATGGGGTTGTAACTCCTTGTCTCGTACCAGGAGTGTTTTGTAAAAGGAATATTCCCTGCACAACTTCTTACAAGTCTTTATGGTGTAGTAAATGATACTTGGTCATGGACTAGCAATGTTTGTCATCACAAAATGTCAGATATTGGAAGGGACCTCAAAGGATCATCTAGTCCAATCCACCTGCTGGAGCAGGACCACCTAGATCAGATCACACAAGAACGCGTCCAAGCGGGTTTGGAACATCTCCAGAGAAGGAGACTCCACAACCTCTCTGGGCAGCCTGTTCCAGTGCTCTCTTACCCTTACTGGGAAGAAGTTCTTCTCATGTTTAAGCAGAACCTCCTATGTTTCAGCTTATATCCATTTCCCCTTGTCCTATCATTGGGTGCCCCTGAGAAGAGCCTGGCTCCATCCTCATGGCAGTCACCCTTTCCATATTTATAAACATTAATGAGGTCCCCCCTCGGTCTCCTCCAAGCTAAAGAGACCCAGCTGCCTCAGCCTTTCCTCAGAAGGGAGATGCTCCACTCTCTTAATCATCTTTGTGGCCCTGCACTGGACTCTCTCCAGCAGTTCCTTGTCCTTCTTGAACTGAGGGGCCCAGAACTGGATACTATTCCAGATGTGGCCTCACCAGGGCAGAGTAGAGGGGGAGGAGAACCTCTCTCGACCTACTAACCACACTCCTTCTAATACACCCCAGGATGCCACTGGCCTTCTTGGCCACAAGGGCACATTGCTGGCTCATGGTCATCCTGCTGTCCACCAGGACCCCCAGGTCCCTTTCCTCTGTGCTATTCCCCAACAGTTCAGTCCCCAACTTGTACTGTTTTTTTGTAAAAGCTTGGTGGCTCAGTGAGAATTCATGACTGTGCTCATAGAAATGATGTTAAATTCCAGATTATGGAGTAGAAAGTGTATTTTTCTTTCTGAGTATATGCTAAAGACAGTGTAAATCATTTCATAAGCCCGAGGCTTGGAAAAAAATCTTGGTTTCCAGAGTAAGTAACATCAGAATCTATTTGAAAGATTTTTTTTAAACACTGCTTTGGCTTAGAACAAAATTTGCCTCTTATCCATTGATTTTTATGGAATGTACTTTTGGGTCTGAAGTCTAACCCAGCTGGGTATATGGGTTTGAATTGGCTTTTGTTGTTATTAGCTTGAATAAATAAGTGTTTAATTGATTACATGAGCTTTTATGAGAAGATCTAGAGTTGATAATGTGCTTGAACTAGTTTATATTGGAAATGTTTTATCCATTGCAACTAAAATAACCAAGTCCCAAGTACAGGCAAACTTTGTACCTGAAAAAGGATGCATGCCTGGGTGGCATATTGTATTATTCAGGGCTTTTTCTTTTTTCTCCACTGTAGCCTATAACCTTCCTCTAGCTTCCCACCTTTTGGGTTTTTTCTCTTGCCAAGACAGCTATTTTTCAGCTGTGTTTTGCTTTTGTTTTGTATTTTTCTAATGCAAACCACCTTCTACTTACGTTTAACTGATTTCCCAAACAAAAATAAGCATTCTAATCATCACTAAACCAGAGAAACTGTTCTATGAAAGCTGTTATCTCATATTTTACTCCAAATTTCTCCATTGCTCTTCTCTGCAGAGGTGTCATTAGCTCTGTTCACGTATTGGCTAGTCTGCATGCATGTTTTATATGTTCTAATAGTCTGCAATATACAGATTTCACTTACTGATATGACAGTGAAAGTGAGCAAAACCTGGTTTTGTGAATCAAAGTGCTTCACAGTTTCTGTTAAAAATTAAAAAAAGGCATTTAATGCTCGAATTCTTCCCTGAAAAACTGCCAAGTCAAGTCTTAGACAGTTTGTAGAGTCACAAAATGGGTCTAGAGGCCCACTATGTGGCTACTTGCCTGGCAAGCTGTTGCTTTTAGCCATCCTACAACCGCTCCTACGAGAACTGTAGTTCAGTACCTTCTGGTAAATAATACATTTCAGCTTTAAATTATTATTCCATGTTAGATCTTAAAAATGTCTCATTCTGGTATGCTTGGCGTTCAGTGATTCATGGAAAATATCTTTGTTTTGCAGCATTGGCTGGGTTTAATCAGCACCCAGGACTGGATTCTCTTGCTTCACCCTGCAGAAGGCAGGTCGAGGATGACCCAGACTCGGTTAGTCTCACGACGGATGATCTGTTAACGTTTCCAGCAGATGGATCATTGCCCTTTGTCCAGTGTACTCCTCCGAAATCGTGGCTTCAAAGTAGGGAGTGGAACAGGCAGTCACTTCAAACATCCTTTGGCCCTTCCGAGACCTCATCGTTCAGTACTCAAAGTGGTCCCAGTCTCCAGGAGAAAGGGAAAGCTGTTGCTCACCAGAATCCCCCCAAAGATTTCAGCAGAAAGAAGCACCATGTGTATACACCTGATAAGTGTGATTCTGTCCCCTCTGAGGGAAGACCTCTGTCTTTTGAAGAGAACTCGAACACTTTGAAGAATTATCCAAGGTGGCTTACCAGTCAGAAGTCTGACTTAAGTGTATCAGGGATAAGCAGTATTCCCAATTTGCACTACCCGGTCTGGCTGAAAAGTTACAACCTTTTTTCTGATTCAACTAAAGAAAGTGCTTGTCAAAATTGTAACGTACAAGGCAAAGCTTCCTCTTCGCAAACCGTTGAGATCCTGGAAAAAGGACACTCTGTAGATAAAGACAGTTCTAATTTTTTGGAACAAGATGGCTGCCTGCCTCTGAGAAATGAGAATAAAGTAGAAAGTTGCAACGATGCCGGTCCACTTGCATGCTTCCAATTTGATAACTCATTTTCGAAACACACCAAAAAGCTGTTCAGAGGTAACTAGATTTAATATAATTTGTGGTTTTTTTTCCATTTTTGGGGTGTGTATATAAAGACATGCACATGTTGCTTGTATTTTTAAACCAACACTCTTAAGCTATGTGAGTCTGCACTGTACAGTAGGTTTATTCACTTCCATCTTTGACAGATGACTCAAAGCACTTAGTAGTAGTTGACCAACTTAAACAGCTTTTATACTGTAAGCTTTCATAAATCAATATTTAAGCATTCCTTTCACAGCAAACTATTTATTACAGGGGCATACTTAGTACCTCCCTGCAAGATAATGACAGTAATTCCATAAATATTTTAGTAGAATTGCAAGTGTTAAATTAAATTACACGGAGTGTAACCTTGGGGGAGAGAGAGAGCTAAACATAGTGTAAAGGAACCTGTCAAACTGGTCAGAAATACCATGTATCCTGCACTTTTTCTCTACTTTACTCTGTCAGCAGGAGATAGTTGTAACCAGTATACTCCAGTGCCTTCAGTTTACGTCAGGAGTTTCCTTGGGAATCTCATGTAGCTACTCTTTGCAGGAGCAGGGAGGTCCTCCTGTGGTGAAGCACCATCTTGGCATGAGGAAATAGCAATAAGATTTGCTTTGATAAGAGAGATTAATGCTTCAAAGTGTTAATTACTTTCACTTCTGTCCAAGTTGATAGTTTAAAAGAGAAATTATTTTGTTATGCAAAGCCTAAAGATTGATCCCTCCCTTTTTTTGAGGTTTTATATATATAGAAATGAAGTTAAACCATTGGTTTTGTGCATTCAAAGTGACAAAATGTCTGCAAATACCTAATGTGTGTGCATGATGAACTTTAAATGTAGTGTTATATATATTTTCACACAAAAAACTTTACCAATGTAAATGTAAAACATTACTTGTTTTTCCAAGAAATGTGGAAATCATACCCTTGAAGAGGGTTGGATGCCTTGTGTCTTTTTATTTTTTTTTTCTAGAAGACCAGTTTGAGCTACTTGCCATGAAGGCTGACAGAGATCTGGAGAGTTTAACTGAAGATGTACCAAATAATCTGGACAACGAGGACAGTCCTTCTACAACAGAGATACTAGGAGCAGAAAGATCATGGGAAAAAGCTCCAAGTGCTCTGTAAGTAAAAATATTTTGGACTAATTTGTGAAAGCATAGGTAATTAATATCTTAATAGATAGGAAGAATAGAATTCTTTAATAATAGATAATAATAGGATTCTTAATAGATCAGAAGTAATGTTGGTGTGGCAGGTACATGAAGATTTACTACTAGGCTTCTTGCGTCGTGCTAAATGTTTGATGTTTCAAGGTCAGGAGATGGGTGCACTGCTTTCCCTTTCTCACTGACTTGCAAAAAGTGCCATCAATACTGCTCACCGTTGCCTTTTAACAATATTTTTTGTATCACAGTTGATATACAAAATTATGACTTTCAAGAGAAATTATTTAACGGAACTTAATTAACAGATTTAACAGTTTATGGGGAAAACAAGGTAATGTTGGGAAGTGCCTTTTTTTTTAAAAAAAAAAGTGGGGCCTTGGGAAGGTTTGGAGCAGTCTTGGAAGTGAAATTTCAGTTGTTGAGGAACTGAAAGGTTGTTTCCTAGGATCAAAGAATACTAAAAATAAATAGAATTATAAGAAATAAAAAAATAAATAATAA